ATAGACACCTGCCTGGCAAGTGCAAGGCCCCGAGTTCAATCCCTGGTACCAAAAAAAGAGGAAAAAAGGATTGGAGATGTAGCTCAATGCAAAGGCCTTGAGGGTCCTACTATAAGAAGGAGGAGCTGGGTAGTTGGCTCAGTAGAATAAACGCTTGCCTAGCAAGCCCAAGGGCCTGAGTTCAATTCCCCAGTTCCACAAAAATAAATAAATAAAAATTAAAAATTCTTTAAAAAAAAGGAGGAGGAGAATCGTGGTATCCATTTTTTAAGTATGAGATTTAGAAGTTGTTCTTAATATAAAAATGGTTACTCCCCTGGGACCAACAGATGACCAGTAGGTAACTAAGTAAAACAAAGCTTAACTTTGATTTACTGACATATATTACCTGCAGAGTTTGGGTGTGTACATCATTTTGGACAAGTTGGCAAAAAAGGGTTTATTAGCCCAAAATTTGACAAACCTTTGCTATCCTTCTTTTAGGCTGATGACACAAAGCTAAGACAATAGTAACAAAAATAGTTCTCAGGGTTTACAGGGACATCTGATTGCCAGCTTTTACAAGGCCAGCCTCCAGATCCACTCCCCTGACTGAAGCATTGCCTAGAAATCACCAGTCACTGTCTCAAACCTGTAGCCATCTGGGTCCAAGGAAAGACAGGGTCTCACGGGCCACCTCATAGTGAGAACACCTTCTCAATCTTTAGCCGTTTTCTCCTGAAAATCAAAGGGTCCCTCAAGCCCTGACGGTCTCTCCAGAGCAAAGATAATGATTTCCAGAAGCCCGACCAGAACCCTAATTTGTCTCTTGTTCTTTGCGTATGGGCCTGTGTGAGCCACTTTTTCAGGCCTGTTTCCCCTTGTTTCCCCAACTAAAGCCCTTTGCCTTCCTGCCTTCCTTTCTTGCCTTTGTTAGGGGGCTCAGCAGTGCTCTCCTTCATTTTCACTTTCTGCAAGCTTACAGTGTGTATATAGTTTTCATTGCATTATCACTGAGGAAAAAACTGGTGCTAACCAGGGACAAGATGCAGCCCTGCCTGGGGGATGGCACTCATTGGTGCCCAGGTGTCTGGAGCCCCAGAGGCTAGGGATGGGAGGACTTCCAGGAGGTGACTGAGCGAGGCTGAGGAAGCCATCTTCCCTGAGACTTTTTTGTGATGCTAGGAATGAAACCCAAGGATCTCTGTGAGTCTTCACAAACAGACTGGGGAGGTCAATAGATTCTGTCACCAAGGGGGCCACTGTCATTGTTTCTGGGTGTGAGCCTGTTCAGGAGGCTTGGGCTCCATCCTCTGCACCACAAAAGACTTCCGGATGATGACTTCACAGCCTCTCAGCTTCTCAGCAGAGTTCCTAATCCTCTGGGAGGAATAGATTTCATCCCAGTTGTTTTCTCAAACAAGTTGAAAAGAACTTCAGAGCATTGCAAAAGGACTTTAATTTGGCTGCAATAGTGCCTCAGTTCACGAACTTAATGCTCTCCATGATTTTGGTCACAAATTTAGTGGTTAGGCTCAATGTTGACCTTTTGGGCAAATTTGATGTGGTTCTTGTCCAGTTCAGTTCAACACCAGAATCACAGAAAGAATTAAATTTATGAGCTTAGGCACCCTGTATTAATTTATCATCATAACTATAAGAGTTTCTTTACAACAGTAACAAACCTCAGACAAAGAGGGCTTATATCACAGAAAAAGCCCTAGAGCTTTCAGTCTCGTACACAATCTTAATTTCAAATCTATACCACTCTGAGGTGTAGGCTTTGAAGGTATTACTCCACAGTACAACTCAAGTTCAAATCCTATTTCTTTATGAACTTTTAGAAACATGCCCCTAAACTCACTTGCAGAGGGGATTCATTTTTAAAACAGCATGAGTTTCCCCAAGTGCATTTTAAATAAAAATATAGTCATTTGTAGCCGTACCTACAGCCATCAGGCTTCAAAAAGAGTAAGTAACTTTTAGGTCTCAAAGGTTCAGTGTGGCATGATGCTTGAAGTCACCAGGAAATGATGAACACAAAGATGTTCACTGAGGCAAGCATTTATGCAGTGCTTGGGAAGCCCTAAGTTTCTGTGGAGGTGAGGGCCAAAGAAATCAGGTTTCATCTCCCTCATACTTCTTGCCCTTTTAGGGAATCATTTATCTTCTTTTAGGGCCAGTTTTGTGTTAGGAGGTAATGACAGCGTGTGCGTATGTAATGGGTGTCATTTGTAGAATGTATCATTGGCATAAATTAATTTTAATTATGCAGTTAACACAGAGCTGTCAGAGACAACATTCAAAAAAGAGGGACTTTTACGTTACCCTGATAATGTTTCAGCCAAGCATACTCAGAGAGGCAGAGAGATTAAAAGTACAAAGAAGAACAGGAAAAGTTTCAACATTAAGTTTAAAATCAGGCTGGTCTTGCAGAATGTAACTATCATCTCTGAAGCCTTCTGTTAGCAATGGACACCCATGACCGTAACATCTGCATCACAAAGGTGGGAGGATTTAATGCTAGGTCCCTAATGCCCGCCCACCAGCTGGGAAGGAAGAAAGGCCTCTTCAGGCAGTAAGGCTGTAAGGGTCACAGCCACAGTAGAATACTCACCAAAGACCAGAAGGTTCTCTTGATAGCCACCCCACTGAAATGCAGCATGCAGCACCTGGGGAAATCCACCAGCAAAGCTCGTGGTCTTGCCTGGAGGTATCAGGTTACATTTGGTCTGCCCTAAGGGGGACAAGCTGATGTCAAAGAGTAGGACAGTCCTGGGTGGTCGCTGTAGCAAGCACAGGGGTTCCATGAGAGTGTCCAAAGCAATGATCTGAAAGCCAGAAAGCTGGCAATGTCAAGCTTTCTCTCTCTGTGGTTGTCAGGTACATAAATACAGCAGCTCACTGTCTCTCAAGGAAAACCAGAGCACACTTGTACCGCATGGACCTGCAGTCACTGTGGCTTGGAAAGGACCCCTAGACCTTTGTTCCTCTCTGGGTCATTCTCCTGCCATTTAGCAGAGCAGTGAAATTCCTTTACATCTTCAGTAACCTTTGTGTTTGTGTGAATTGAGTTTCTATTAAGTCTCCCATTTTTCCTGATACATCTTAAAAATGCTGGGGCCATTTTACTTGAGGGAACATTAAGTAATATGCACATGAAAGAAATGTAAAGAGTGTTATTTTAATTCATTTTGAAGTTTTAAATAATTGGCCAGTGAATTTCAAAATGATTATCCTTTTATGTGATACGTGCTTTTCAGCTCTGTTAAACATGCAGTGGATGGATTCATTTTTTTTTTACCTATGACAAATAGTCTCCATTAGCCCAGCAGTGAGAGCCTGAAGAGAGATCTAACCGCCAAGCCTGCCCTCTACAGCAGCGTTATTGCTCCCAGACAGAAACACAGGCCTCTG